TAGTGCTATAAATGTCCCTCTAAACAGTGCTTTATGTGTGTCCCAGAGATTCGTTGTATCTTTGTGCTCATTGGTTTCAAAGAACATCTTTATTTCTGCTTTCATTTTGTGATTTACTTAGTAGTCATTCAGGAGCAGGTTGTTCAGTTTCTATATAGGTTTCTTAATCCTGAGTTCAAATTTGATTGCACATTTCTATTCTTTTGCATTTGCTGAGGAGTGTTTTACTTCCACTTATGTGGTCAATTTTAGAATAAGTGAAATGTGGTGCTGAGAAGAATGTATATTCTGTTGATTTGGGGTGGAGAGTTCTGTAGATGTTTATTAGGTCTCTTTGGTCCAGAGTTGAATTCATGTCCTGGATATCCTTGTCAATTTTTTGTCTTGTTGATCTGTCTAATATTGACAGTGGGGTGTTAAAGTTTCTCACTATTATTGTGTGGTAGTCTAAGTCTCTTTGTTGGTCTCTAAGGACATGCTTTATGAATCTGGGTGCTCCTGTATTGGGTGTATATATATTTAGGATCGTTAGATCTTCTTGTTTCTTTGATCCCTTTACAATTATGTAATGACCTTCTTTGTCTCTTTTGATCTTTGTTGGTTTAAAGTCTGTTTTATCAGAGACTAGGATTGCAACCCCTCCTTTTTTGACTCTCCCATTGCAGTTTATTTTAAATACCTTATTCTGCAATCACTTAATGTGGTATTTTATAGCCATATTCACATCTTACTTTCCCTGCTAAATACATCCTACTCAAATATAAAATATTGAATTTTTAGTAATTCCTACCATGTTTAACCCTGCACATGCACCTACTTCAATAAACGAATACATTCTAAAACAAACGAATGGCTGCATTTATCAACAGTATTCAAAGTTAAAAAGCATGATTACAGCTTGTGTTTATTGATATCAATTGTTGAAATATATTACCCCATAGTTACTTCTGTGTTAAGTGATAAGAAAGCAAAGAGAAAGAAAGATGTGAAAGCAAGAAGTGCATAAAACTAAGCAAACAACAACAAAAACCCAAGACAATACATTTTGGGGGTATGGATGATTTCTTCCTGTGTTATACTTGGGGTTCTCTTCTCCCCAGGGAATGCAAGATGATTCCTTTTATTGACTGAGTGGAAGAGGAAGTGGGCTTGTGTAGTTCAGTCTCTTTTCCTTACAACTTTTCAGGAGCTAGCATGTGTGCAGAGGAAAGGCATCCTCAAGCTTTGAAAATGCCGAAAGTATTATAGGGGCAAGCTTTGAGACTGTGGGGTTTAAGTCTACAGGTTTGGAGTTAAGTTCACCTTGAAGAAATATTAAAAGCTGGTGTTTCGGATGAGAAACCTTGAGACATACATACACAGTTAAGGAGGGAGATATGAAAATCTAATGGAGATGTGGAGAAGAGGGCTCACGTGGGATTGATCAGATGACTGTAAGAGTAAGTAAGGCTTGCAGGTGACACCTTAGAATCAAGCATGAACTATGGAGGCCTCATCAATGGAATAAACCTTGAAGTACTCAAGCCTTACGACGAGTAGCTTGCTTCAGCATAGCCATAATGGTGTTCTCCGGCTCTCCTATCCATTTAGGGGCTGCTTTAGATTGTATTTGGCTATATTACAATGCTTACAATTCCATACGTTTCTGAGATCCAAACCATAGCTCCAACCATATAAAAGAGTCATTTTTTATAATGGATAAATTCATTCATATGAAGTCCTCAGAAAGAGAAAATGATATTGTCTTGGCTTGACATAGAGGTGTAAGTCATAAGATTAAACGGGCTGTTATATATTGATTCTTTTCAACATAGCATTCCTGCACCTACCTAGATTTGTGCAGCATTTGTGCAGCATGGATGAACTTCATCATATCTTTTTCTGTTCTGCCAGGGCAGTGAGGCTGTTCACTTTCCAACTTCTAAAATTGATATTGCTCTTCAATATTGTCTTATAAACCACATAATCCATTGGTTCTGGAACTCTTCCCTGAACTCAAAATCACACCCCTGAGCTCTTAAGTCACAGTCCAGTGTCTTTCCTCTACCAAGAATTCATTTATCCTTCTGTCACCTGTTGAAATCTGGCCCAGGACTCACAGACTCACAAAGGGTATCTTAATTTTCAAAACAAAAAATTGTTTTTGGCCAGGTGTGGTGACTCACGCCTGTAATTCCAGCACGTTGGGAGGCCAAGGCGGGAAGATCACGAGGTCAGGAGTTCGAGACCAGCCCGACCAACATGGCGACACCCTGTCTCTACTAAAAGTACAAAAAATTAGCCAGGCGTGGTGGCAGGTGCCTGTAATCCCAGCTACTAGGGAGGCTGAGGCAGGAGAATCGCTTGAACCCAGGAGGTGGAGGTTGCAGTGAGCCGAGATCATGCCACTGCACTCCAGCCTGGGTGACAGCAGTGAGACTCCGTCTCAAAAAAAAATGCTTTATTATTTTTCTGTGATCTTGTGGTATATATGCTGTTATTATATTACATATGCCATTATACCACTTACAATATTCTCCATACAATTACAATTTATGTTGGTTTCCAGACTGAGTCTGAAATACTTTACAATACAATGTCTGAAATGACTCTGAATTTAACAGTGCAGAATTTTACATACCATTTCATTCTTCTACATTTCATCCATCATTTTAGATACCTCAATACCATGACTGATACTAAGTAGTTTAAAAACTATCTAAGGATAAGGACATTATATCCCTCTATATTGTTTATTATATCCCTCTATATTGTTTAGTAAATGATATTTCTTCATAGGAAAAAGACATGCTGTTTTAAGCGCTGTGCCTTTCTGTACTTTTATTTTGTTACTATAAAAAAAATCCACAGATGAAAACCTATGGCTATGATATATTTACAGTATAATACTCATTTGACAATGAAGTTATACTATATAATTGAATCAAAGGACTCTGCTGATACAGTGAATGATACAGTGAATAAAAGAACATATGTAAATGATTCTTATATGGTACAAAATAGATATTAATAATAATATTATGAGCAATTTGAATGAAACAGTTACCATTATCAAAGCAACTTTTTTTTCTTTTTTTTTTTTTTGAGGCAGAGTCTCGCTCTGTCACCCAGGCTGGAGTGCAGTGGCGCGATCTCGGCTCACTGCAAGCTTCGCCTCCCGGGTTCATGCCATTCTCCTGCCTCAGCCTCCCAAGTAGCTGGGACTACAGGCGCCCGCCACCTCGCCTGGCTAGTTTTTTGTATTTTTTTAGTAGAGACGGGGTTTCACCGTGTTAGCCAGGATGGTCTGGATCTCCTGACCTCGTGATCCGCCCGTCTCGGCCTCCCAAAGTGCTGGATTACAGGCTTGAGCCACCGCGCCCAGCCCAAAGCAACTCTTTAAAAAGAATGCAAGCTGTTGAAGAAAGACTTCCATCCTGCTGTGTTAGAAAAGGATTGTGGTCTACAACTGTAGTGGAAAGAAACCCTGACAGAATATATTAATATATTTTCAAAATATTATACATTAGATTGCTAGATCATTTATGTTGTAATATCTGCTAAGACTCTAATATGGTCCTACCAGTAAATCTACTTTTAAAAAGGAAGCAAAATGTATAGTTAAAATTCATCTTGAATTAATAACTGAGATAATGGTATAAAGATAAAAAAAAGGAATATTCCTTCTGCCTGTATAAAATTATGACCTCATCGTTATAGCTGAAGAGGACTGAAATACTCCAGAACATGTCTTTCAACTTCTCCTTTCATTCTTTTTCTTCTCATAATTTAACCTTTGTGGGCTCATAATTATATAAACAACACAAGAGGAAAATAAAATGTATTTTCTACTAAGGGAATGTATCGGTAGGAAAAGCAATACAACAGATTTAGACCGTCAAGAACGTTCAAAATTGTAGTAAAAATATACAGACTAGCATATGAATCATGTATGAGCATTTAAAATAACTAAGGTAGAATTAAAAATGAACAGGCATGAAAGCATTTGCCAAGATGTCCAGATTAAAAAAAAAAAAAAAAGATGAGAATGCTAAAAATTAAAAACATAATCACTAAAGCTCAATGTATGGATAAAATAAGAGATTAGATACTGGGGAGAACCCTGAAAATACAGACCTGAAAAAGAAACAGAAACTGGGAAGGAGAGGGTAAGAGATGTGGGAGGTGTGAAAATGCAAAGTTATGTCTTCAGAGTTTCAGAAAAAGATCATAGAAAATTGAGGAGTGGTTATCTGAAGAAATAATGCAAATTTCCAGAATTCATTAAAATGTGATTCTGCAGATACAGCAATTACGGTAAATAAAATGCATGTATACTTATGACTTTATAGTGGAAGTATAGTGGAAGAGTAGAACACCAAAGACAAAGTATTATTTAAAGCAGACAGCAAGAGAAAAAAATAACATCTACAGGAGTAGCAACAAGATTTAAAGGAAATGCTTGGGGAATAAAGATAATATAAAATAAAAATATTAATGTGTACATCCTTATCCAGGAAATTTATTCAACCTAAATTGATGAAATGATAATTTATAAACAGTAAAACTTTTGTTTTCCTTTTAGATAAATAAGGTACTCTATGTAAACAAACAACCACAGTGCTTTCTGGAAGAACTTTCTGAGTAACAAGATACAACAAGAATTTAAAAAGGACTGTCGTTCTTGACATTATCTTGTATTTTCAAAATGGGCAGATAAGTATTTTCAAAATGGGCAGATAAGTATAATTAATATCAAGTATTTAGATGTCCCATTTATAATTGACTTGTGACGGAATATCTTTCAGTAGAAAATAAATGGAGTTGTAACTTAGTAACATTGTTACCAAATTTCATATTGAAGAAATATTAAATTCATATCCAAGAAGTATATATTGTATAATTTAAACTTTTGCACAAAGCACTTCTTTATGCTTCCCCTGGAACCATATACATATAATTTGATGCCATGTACCCTCAGCAGTAAAGGGCCAGGGTCGACCTTTCTGGGACTCACTCACCTCCCCTTCTGTAGATTGCAAATGGAGCTCCTTCCTGCAGGTGGCCTTGAAGTCTCCTGCAGCAGCACTCACCTGGACCCCACGAGGAGCTTCCATGATCAAGGATCTGGTGGGTGATTCAAGCCTAAGGAAAAAACAAAAAAAAAAATCATTCATAGAAAAAAGAAAATTTTTGGTAAACTAGAAGACAACATTAGTCAACTTAAAACAACAACCAGAAAAACATACAGACCAGACAGGAATAAAGGAAGTTAGGCAAAGCCAAAATGAGTTTTAGAACAATTTTTGATTGACTTATCTATTTTTGGCTCTTTATAAAAATCTACATTTATTCACATCAAGTATTGACTCTCACCAATTTGCTTATGGTTTCTTTTGCTGTTTGAAAAGTAGGGTGTGATAAGTATACTTGCTAAAATTTTGGATAACTCACTAATATTAATGATGGAGGTTTAATTAAAAAAGTGCTACAGTTTAGGATGTAGATATATGTATTCCTCAATAAAGAGTCCCTGTCTTGTAAACATGAATGCGTTCATGAAAATCGTTAATATTGCAAACTTTCAGGCATGCACAAAATATTATGAACTTGACACCACTAGAAACTGATTAAAATAATGAAATAAGACATTTTCTACATCAACTAACTCTGATGGCCCTGTGAAATGTCCACAGAATGAGTGACATTAGTCTGGGAAAGAAAAATCAATAGGAGGGTAATATACAAGTATAAATGTGATGGAAGGTTGGCTACATAAATTATGAGGGCAAAAAAACAAGTGTTTTACACAGTCATGCCTACAGAAAGAGAGTTGGGAAGCAATTTTCAAATTATCTTCAAATATGACACTAGAGAAAAAGCAAAAATGACACAATACAGGAACTAGAATACGGTGGTAAAAAGTGCTAGTATAAGAAGAGGTAGGATCCATGCATTGGTCTTTTTAGATCAGCTTTCTGCCTTGGGGATGCAACTGCCTGTGATCCCCTTGACCACGGGAGTTTAAGAGGAGGGTCCCCTCAGGCTCACATTCACAGTTATCCAGCACAACTGGTTTTGTTTTCGGTTTCTGAGGCAATGAATTCAGAGTGGTTTTGCAGAAAGAACCACATCAAATGGTTAGGTCTCTGGAGTTCAGCTCCCTCTCGGCAGGAAAATCAAACTTAAAAGCTTAAAAGTGATGAAGGAGCAGAACCAGCATTTAGAAGTGGTTTCAACACTTTCATTTTCTCTTGCAACTTTAAAATTTTAATCCCTATGGGCCATTTGGAGATCTGTCCTCATATAATCCCTGGAGATCTGTCCTCATATAATCCCTGGAGGGGAGAGGTTTTGAATATATCTATTTTTAATAAACGTCTGTATTTTTTTATTAAACAGAACTCCCCGTATTTTCCATAGAATATTTGATTTCCACAGAATATTTGAAAACTTGAAGACAATCACTCATAATCCCACTACTTATACAATTTACTATTAGCATTTTACGCACAGTATCTAAATGTCAAAATTTGAATGTTAAAATGTATTTTTTATCACTCATTTTCCCTGGTACACAACCCCTCTAGAACTATGCAGACTCTTAGCAATAAAGGATCAACAATTAAATGTTGTCCCATGGCCGGGCGCTGTGGCTCATGCCTGTAATCCCAGCACTTTGGGAGGCCAAGCATAGTGGCGGGCGCCTGTAGTCCCAGCTACTTGGGAGGCTGAGGCAGGAGAATGGCGTGAACCAGGAAGGCGGAGCTTGCAGCGAGCAGAGATCACGCCACTGCGCTCCAGTCTGGGCGACAGTGCGAGACTCCGTCACAAAAAAAAAAAAAAAAATAGTGTCCCACTTCTCTCTTGTATGGAAATTCTCCTGTTCACTGAGGCGGGTTTCACAGACTTATTTATATTATCGTAGAAGTTTTCAATTAAACTATTCATGTTATTATGAAATATTCTCTGGAAAAGCCTGTTGAAAAGGGAAACCTAAGTTTATTGGCACTACTTGTGGATTTCTATGTAAATAGTCAATGGAATTAGTGAATTATAATTGTATTCATGTGGAAAGCATTACAGCAAATACAGCAGTGAGTTTCAGACTGGCTTTCACAGTGGGTAGGTAGTAGTATGGCAGAGAGAAGGATTAATGTTTAACTCAAGTCCCTCTGCCACCTGGTTTTTCAAAGCATTCTGTTTTTCATGGTGTTTATATACCAAAGATGAAACGAGATACTGTTTCTAAGGTGTTATGCAACTATCAAATTTTAAAAGTCTGTGGCCTAAATCTCTAGAAGAATTCTCAACATTCAGAAAAAAGAATTCAGACTTTAAAAGAATTCAGACTTTAAAACCACCTAAGTTGCAAGAATGCAATTGTTAAGTATTAAGCAGAACTTAAACATCAGAAGAAACAAAAAGAAAGGGAGGGAAAAGGAAAGGAAAGAAAACAAATACACTACTTTATCATAATGTTCTTCTCATAGGTAGAAGAAAACCAGCAAAGCGATCTACCCCTTTATTGACGAAATGTCTCAGACAACATCCTGACTGCTTAATAGAGTTTTTTTCCTTGAATATATTAATGATGTATATTGGAGCTATGTGTTTCTAGAGATTAACTTGGAGCCTGCAAACCTTAATATTTCTGTGTTAAGGTGTATTTTTGCAACAATGAGAATTATGAAAAGATGCCAAATATATGATTAAATATTAATTCATTTTATAGAATCCAAGTGCAGATTATTTATTTTCTTATTCTGTACTTAATGGATCTCAGATCCAAAAATAAATCTGTAGGAAATCGGCACTGGATAATTAATTTCATCACTTTTTACCATAGGTACAGAAACTCTTCAAACTGTAGCAACTTAACTATATATTAATGTAAGAAATAAAAAAGAGTGAACATTGGGCTGTTGTGGGCAAATTTACTATTATGTCTTTGTTAACTATTTAACATATATTGTTTAGCCTTTTAAAATATAGACTCCATACTACAAAACAGTATCATCTTATCTAAAAAAAAAAAAATTAAAGAAAATCCAGAGTTTTAAAATGCACATGAAAACCAGCACAGAACTTGAGAAATACTAGATACTCATCAAACATCTGCTGAATAAATAAGTCATAGAAATCCACCACATTTCTTCACCAAAATATTAATATTCTATTAATATAATAAACTTTTGAAATTTTTTCTTTTCTGAAGTCTAAATCAAAGAAAACATGGCTACCTACTCCCTAAATTAACAGTTTATTGACTTGGCCAACCAATGAAACCGTGTTGATTAGAGCTAGGCATCTTACTTCTCTGAAAGGAAAACTGTCAGCAAGGCTTGTAAAGTTTTTCTCAAACACCCTGCTTTTAATGTTCATTAATCTTCGGGATTGCCAGTCTGCTTTTACAACCAGCTGATCAATCCAGCTTAGTGCAATGTTTAAATAATGATGAATAATTAGAAAATGAAAACCAGAAACACTATACACTAGATATAATATCATTCACATTTTCACTTATGAATTGTGAAATATGTCAGCAAGATAATTAAAATACCAGTTGGTTCTTATTCCTCTTTTAATAGACTCTCCATTGTTACTAAAATGTTAGAAATAAAAAATATTTAAGAATAAATGTAAATAATTAAAAAATACTTCTATAAATGTAGTAATTAAGTTTATTGAATAAATTAGTAAACAGCTGTGTCTGTATTAAAACACAGATGAAAAAAATTGGAATCAATGCTCTTCACATGTGCCTTTGTAATACAATAATGACTGCAGCCAACATGTGCCTTTGTACTACAGTAATAACTGCAGCCACTTTCCTTATATCCCACTTATTTAGTTAATGTCCCCATTTTTCATCTTTGCTAAGTTTCAGTAACTCACATTAACGAATCCTTATTGCAACTAGGATGTGTAAGATAACAGTGCTGGCTGCTCCAGCATTAAGGATGAACAAGGGACATGTGTATCCTGTTCTAATGGAATTTATAGTTTGTTAGGAGAAGAAAGATACAATAAATATTTTCACAAAAGTTGTTGAATTCCTCCCTGAAAAAAAAAGCCATAAATGAAGACTGTAGCACCCTATGAGATGCTGTTTACACACACTCCTCAGCACTCCTAAATCCCTAGGGTTTCTATCTAGAGTAGGTAATTATTACGTTGCTCTTCTAAAATAAGTCTTAGTCCTTGAAGGCGGCCACTTTTTTTCTAATATTGTTCCCTAGCTTGTTTGAATCTGTGTTACTCAAGTAGTGAGAAACTGAGTTCTTTAGGAAATGTTATCATAGGACTCTAAAGGACTAAAAAATTTACTGTTGTAAAGTATGGTTTTGTTGCCTTAAAGATTTTCAACTTTATTTTTTGTTTCCATCTGAGTACGTATACACTCATCCAGTGTGAAGGGCTGAACACCAATCCTTATGAATAAAAAGGTTTTTTAACTTAATATTTTTATGTTGCTTCCCAAGACAGCAACTGTGTCTCTCAGGTTGATACTTTGATCCAACTTTAAAAGTGACTTTTAATATGTGATTAGTTTTTATCAGCAGTATTTGCGTATTTCCTTTTCCTATACAATAATAAGTTCATTTCAGAATGTAATTTACCTATCATAAATTATTAAACCATAATCAGCAAATCTTATGTAATGAATTAAGAACATCCACTGAGCAGTTTTGTATGAGGGATCTAGATTTTAATATTTTGAATTTAATCAACGGTGGTAATAATTATCCTGGGAAGAATTCCCTATAATGTTGGAATTTTCTGGATGGTGAGAGCTTTTACAAATAACTGCCTCCTAGAACCATTACACTGTCAGGAAGTAGTTTATTCCATTGGAAATATTAGACTGAGGAACCCCATCAAAGTCCAATTAAGTTCTGCCTTTTTCTGATCAGCTTCCATTTGCTTCCATAGTTCCCTGTATGTAATACTCTGTGGTCATTTATAGCTTTCTCAGCTCCCTATTTGCCCTGTCTTTATTCCTATATATGCCATATATTTCATTATATATGTCAGATTTTCCAGCATTCCTGTTTTTGTTGTTGTTTTTATTGTGTTTTGTTTCATTTTTACAGATGGGGTCTTACTGTGTTTTCCAGGCTGGAGTACAGCAGCATAATCATAGCTCACTGCAGCCTCGACCTTCTGGGCTCAAGCAATCCTCTGGTCTCAGCCTCCTGACTAACTTGGACTACACATGTGCACCACCATGCTTGACTAATTTTTATGTTGCCAGGTCTTGAACTTCTGATCTCAACTGATCCTCCTACCTTGGCCTCCCAAAGTGCTGGGATTACTGGTGTGAGCCACCACACCCGACCTCAGCATCCCTATTTTTATTAGTTCCTCTCACTTACTCTATAACTGCCTTTGCCTTTTCTTTTCTACATTCTTGTTATCTAATATATTCATTTTTGTATTTATTTTAAGTATATTGGGGGGAACATTGTCTAGCTGTCTATTTTAGTTCTTCATATATTAAAGCTGATCAATAGTGATGGAATTTATGCCACATGTATAAGAGGAAGCACTTACCTGAGATCTTGGGATGGCTCTGCTCTGATGTGCGGCGTCTCCACAGAGTGCCCAAATACGGCTCCTTCAGTGCCTGGGGGTAGCATGAATACAGCAGTCAGTATAAGCAAGTCCACACAGTGACTTTCATCTCTATTTTTATGCATCAAATATTCTTCCCAAAGAGAGAAAACTTAAAATAGGTATATATCATGTATTAGTCCGTTTTCACACTGCTGATAAAGACATACCCGAGACTGAGGAGAAAAAGAGGTTTCATTGGACTTGCAGTTCCACATGACTGGGGAGGCCTCAGAATCATTGCGGGAGGCAACAGGCACTTCATATATGGCGGTGGCAAGAATGGCGGTGGCAAGAGAAAAATGAGGAAGATGCAAAAGCAGAAACCCCTGATAAAACCATCAGATCTTATGAGACTTATTCACTACCATGGGAACGAGAACATTATGGGGGAAACCATCCCCATGATTCAATTATCTCCCACCGGGTCCCTCCCACAACACGTGGGCATTATAGGAGTACAATTCTCGATGAGATTTGAGAGGGGACACAGAGCCAAACCATATCACAGGATATGAATGAGAAGAATTAGAAGAATATCACCAGGCAGGGAAGAGTCAATCAAGGTAAACATAAATGTCATTATATATTAAATGATTTTAAAATTAAATTATTAAAGTCAAGATTCCCACTCTCTCATTAAAGAACAAAAGCTCATCTCATCTCTGTCCCCTGCCTTATTTTCCAGTTAAGGGAAATTGAGGGAAGGATACGTCACAATACTTAATTCTGTGTTTCTATAAATAATAGCAGGTCATGAATAAAAATGTGGAGGTGGGCTCCAGTGTAGCCTACTATTGGGTTTTACAGACATACCCTGATAGATGTTTAGCAGTTCTCACACACAGAGCTCCCACTTTTGATTACAGTAACCACCAAATGAGAGAGAACATGTCATGTTACTTTGACCTCTCTGGGGTTAGGGCTTTATCTAAAGCCATGAACTGCTTTAAATCATGTTGTTATAGGTGGTTTCATATGGCATCATAGTTTTCCAAAGAGGTCATATACTCTAACACTTTTCTCAGGAGGTTGAATGATACTCTATCTCAACTTTCATTTACTGAATCCACTTTTTTTTTCCAGATTCCCATAGCTTTTTCATAATTTAAGTAAAATGGAAGGATTCTTCAATTACCAAAACCAAGTGGAAAAAAAAATGCTCCAAATAAGATGACACTGAGAAAATCTTTTCTGTAATTTTGCATAAATGTCTTTGATTATCACCCTCAAAATAAACTTTATCATTTTGTTTTTTGATCTAATCTTCTTCAAACTTCTTAGTTTAAGAACCTCATATCTGTTCCATCAGTGGCTTCAACACTAGCTAAATTATACAATGTAACATAAAAATATATATTTGAAGCATACAAATCTGCTTTTGTCTAATGAGAAAAAATAATGTAAAACATATTAATTCAAGAAGCAATGATGAAATTGCCACTAGGAAATTAAAGCTAAAATTCAAATTCCTTAAAAATAAATTGCTATGTATGGAAATGTATTAGAACCATCAGATGACTCCTTTGCATAATATGGCAATACAGACCTTGATCATGAATAGACGAGGAAGAGATGTTTTTTTCAAAGACTGTATGATTTCATCTATATTCTGGTTCTGAGGGCAAACTTACCAGGTTCTGCTGCAGTAAATCCCTAAGATTGCAGATTTCTGTTTATAAACTAAAAGCTATTGGCATTTGTTGAACACTTAATGGGTTTAATAGTGTTCTCTCTTGTCTCTCTCTGTCTCTCCTGAGACTCTGTAGGACATATGCTCCTTGTTTTTAACACTTTTCCTCATGAATTTTGAGAAATTACTTCTTTAAGGGGTTTATTCTGTTGATATTTTGGAAGATATTTTATTTCTCCAAGTGGAACGTTCCTTAAGATGAGTCTTTCAAAGTAAAACAGTAGTTGGAGGTAACAGTAGTTGTGTGATCATGGTGGAGATAGCATGTGAAAGAATATTACAAGATATACATTTGTATATCTCAAAGAGAGACTCTGGCATTTTGTAATAAGATATGCATCCCAGGAAAGATAGTTATCCATGTGCAAAGTTTAAAAATTAATTTCCACTATTGCATGATTATGAAAATTTCCCAGATAAGGTGACAGAAATATAATTAGACATCAGTAATATTTACTTTCAAATACATAATGACATACTTAGTAACTAAGCACAAACTTTATCACTGAAAATAAAAATAGAATGTCATCAAAAGTTTAAATTTTTCAATGAGAAATAAAAACTGACAGACATCTCGATTCTGAGTTCCAGTATAAAAATAATCATTTTCAAAGGATTCTTGAGGAAATAAATATGTAATCATGCCACTTAAAGGGTGAAATTGTACACTAAATAATACGAGTAGTTAACAAAATGCAGGCCTCTACAAAATGAGAAATTCACTCTCCCTGTTTCTGTCCTGAATGAGCCAAAGGTATGAAATTAATAAGCAACACAGATAATCTTAAAGGAAATCAGTAAGGGATGATAAAAGCCACCTGAACCAGGTATGAACTCTAACAGCATAAAAATAAAAAATCAGAACATGTACAGTGGCTCATGCCTGTAATCCCAACACTTTAGGAGGATGAAGCAGGCAAATCACCTGAGGCCAGGAGTTCCAGATCAGCCTGGCCAACATGGCGAAATCCCCCCTTTACTAAAAATACAAAAATTAGCTGGGTGTGGTGGTGGACAGTAGTCCCAGCTGCTTGGGAGGCTGAGACAGAGAATAGATTGAACCTGGGAGGCATAGGTTGCAGTGAGCTGAGACTGCACCACTGCATTCTGGCCTGGGCAATAGAGGGGAGACTGTCTTTAAAAAAAAACTTTAAAAAATTAAAAACTCTATCTCCCATGAATTGAAAATTTTTACCATGTGGATTATTAATAGGGTTGCAAGATTTGGCAATATAACAATATATGACACTGAGTTAATTGGAATTTCAGATACACATCAAATCATTTTTTAGTGTAAGTAAAGGATATTTACAGGGGATATACTTATACTGAAAGCATGTCATGAGTAATTAAGTAAATTCAAAATTAGTAAGGCATCCTATACTTGACCTGGAAACCCTAACAATTTATCAGCATTCATTTGATACACAAGGACAGATCTGATTTACAGTCACTTCAAGAAAAGAAAGACTGTCATGAATTCTCATCACAGGCTCTAGAAACCATAGAAACAAAAAAAGAATGACAGACATAAAAAGGACAAAAGGAACATAACAGAGATACATATTAATATGCATATGTAAACTTACTGAATTTTTTTTTAATTGCTATCATAAGGGGCTGTTCAAAAGGGCATAATGTTCAATAGTGCTTGATTATATAATCCTATAAAGGATGTTTCAGATAATTTAAACTGACTACAATGTTACAAGACATAGGGGAAACCTATACTGTTGGCTATTGCAATTGTCAGAAAAAAAGGAGGTAAGAAAATTCAGGGTCCAAAAGTAGTAGAAGCCATTCATATGATAATTTCTGGCTTCTGCAGGAAAGAATAAGGATGGCATATTCTGTTTTGCTAGAAAGGAGAAAAGGCAGATATGGATTATGGTCCTACTTTGTATTTAAAGAGTTTAAGTCATAAGGTAGGATACTACCCTTTACAAATGCCTAACATAAAATGCCACACCCTCAAAAACAAATTATTAAAATTAAATGCAAGCACTTCGTCTGATGTGGCTATCTATATTCTAAACGTTATCTATACTATAAATGTTATATCCTACGCTACTCATTATTCATCTGTTGGCATAGATATCATTTTTACAGCAGTCATTGGTCCCAGAAGAAGAGGTAGCACAAGAAAAGGAAACCCAAAGAGAAGCACCAGAGAGAACGCAAACAACCAACCAAGAAAGGCAAGAATTCCTCACATTGAGAAAAAGAACGTCAGGCAGGAAATTATATTTTTAAGTTATTTGACCTGATATTTGCCAAATGAGAACTTTTGCTGGCCTTTATTTTTCCAATGAAATCAACTATGATCATGAATTTTCTGAGGTTTTTTTTTTGTGTGGGGGGGGAGGGGATGCGAAGAAGGGAATGGATTTTATGTAGATATCAACATGATGTGAAAGAGAAACTACAAGAGGAATCCAGAGTCCACGGGGCAAAGATTAACAGGACATGAACAGCTAGCCTCCCAGCCCTATGGCACTTCACAGGAATCTCAGACAGCATTTCAAATTCTTCCACTAGAATAGGGATAAGGTCCAGGGATATTTTTCTATATCTCAAGGGACAGAAAGATTCCCATTTATTTATGATCTTCAATTTTGAATCTGTATTAGTAAATATATTCAAACTTTTGGAAGTCATCCTACCTTACTTTCTTTTTCTTTATTTGCATGTGTTTCCCCAATCTAAATTAGTATTAAAATCTAGATTAAACTGGGAATAGATTTTTTTTATTCCCAGGTTTACTTTAATTTGTTTCTAAATCTTGGCCAAGTATTTAAAGCCCTCTGGTTTTTTTATTTGTAAAGTTAAAAACCAGACCATGAATAACATGATCTCTAAAGTACTTTCAGTTTCTAACAGAATTATACTATTTTTTTTTCAAACATGTCAAAACTTGTATACTAATAACTCTTGTCATTCCTCCTTAAATACAAGTGGAAATGAGTTTGCTCCTCCAAATCAAAAGAAAATAAATTATTTTGGGGAAAGGATGGAGTAATAATACTGGAAAAAATATTAATTGGCATTTCTTTTATTCCATTAAAAAGGGTTCCTTTAAATCCTGAAAAATTTATTAGAAAAAATGTCAACCTATTTCAACATATACTATGTCTCTTATTTGTGTTATTTTAATAATCTAAGTGTTGTCTTTGTCTCCACTTAACACGACAAAACACAACCTATACATTGCTGGAGTAATTTTATCAAAACCATTGATAGCTCACCTGTGCAAAAAGCTGTAATTATTTTCTTGGACACTGCTTTTGCCCAGTATTCAGTATTCCTGTAATCTGACCCCA